TCCTCTCGTCTCCTACCTTACTACGTACTAGTACGCGACGTCGTGTTGTTCGTTACTTAACTACACGTACGTACGACGTACACTATATATCTCTCTCTCTCTCTCTCTCTCTCTCTCTCTCTCTCTCTCTCTCTCTCGCTCACTCAATCAACTCCAGATTTTTTTATTTATTTAATATAAATAAATTAGATATTTTTATATAAAAAATAAATTTTAAAATATTTTTATATAAATATTTATTTTTTGGGATGGTACACAATAAGATCATTTACCTTCATAATTGATTACAGCTATAAAATCAAATAGCTTGGATGTGTTCGAGAATTTTCTTTTTTTCAACTTTGAGTTTGGTCAATAAAATAAAAGTAATAATCTTATAATACCTTCTCATATCTTAGGATTTTAAATGATCATTATTAAATTTGACACAGATTTTTAAAAAAATTGAAGTTCTCACTTATATGATAATGTTTTTTGATATTAATGTTAAATTTAATGGTAATCTTTTGAGATTTTACACATATGGGTGTGAGATGATCTTATCGTATTATTACTCATAAAATAAATGCAGCCACTTAATTTTACGTCCGATAGTCAAGATTAAGTGAATGTGTAGTAGAAAAGGTAAATAAAATAACCTCGTTATATACTTCCCTTATTTTTTTAAGACGAATTGGCTCGAGTTTAACTAAAGCAGCTCAAATCTGATTGAAGTGACGCACTAAACTTCGCCTTCGCCCCACTCGAGTCTCAGGATTAAAATCTGAAAGCTTCAGCCTCTGGGGCTAAACAAAGCGAGTTTGACAGAACGAGAAAGAACCTCATTTTCTCTCTCAAAATGAACTCTCGTCTCTTTCTATCTCTAGAGTGAGGTGTTCGATTCTCTTTCTCTCTCTAACGTTGGTTTCTCATTGTTGTTGTCGGCAGATGAGTCCAAGGTTGTGAATCTTAATGGTGGTGCATTCAGTGGAGCTGCTGCATTTTAGTACTACAAGATTTGAATCTTTTGATTGTTAGAGAGAGAGAGAGAGAGAGAAGAATCAGCGTGCTCATTCCTTTTTCATTCTTTCATTTTTATAATCCCTCGGTCCTTGGCTTAGGGATTGAAAATGTCGGCAACTTGCTGTACATATTCTAGAGAGAGAAAGAGAGAGGTTGGCATGTCTCCTATCTTATATCAACTTCCTCAATTAGAGAGATGTCATTGAGTATTTTTCTAGAGGGAGAGTGGATGAAATAAATCATTCTAAATTTATGTAAAGTTGCAAATTTAATACGTAGAAATAAAGATGCGCTTCAAAAATCCATCAAAAACATTGGTTTAATGTTGAAATATCTTCAATTGATCGTCATAATATCAAGATCCATGAATATGAAAAAAGAAAAAAAAAATGAAAAAGATTTTGAGTCTTAAAAATCTTGCAACACATTGATTATTTTCAAAAAAAATTATATGCTTATAGATTTATTTGATTTTATCTATTTTTAAAATTTAAAATTTTATAATTAAATATCAAAATGGATTTTAAGATAATTTTAAAAAAAATTTACAAAAAATTATATATTATGATAAAATTTTGAGGTAATTATTGGATGGTTTGAAGTTGCAATCTTCTAAATATCACACCCTTTTAAGTTTCAGGTTTCTTCTAAATGTCTTTCATGATTGACCATCTTTTAGTTAAAAAAATAGGAAGGGTTTGGTGTAGTAGGTGTTGGGTGACATTTTAGAGAGAGAAACCTCAATATCATTATAATAAAAGAGACTTTAATGTCTCTCCCTCAAGTTTATCAAGAGCGATAAACTTTAATACCGTTATAATAAAGGAGATTTTAATGTGTCTCCATCAAGGTGATGTGTAACGTGCATGGAATTGGGCAATCGAGCAAATAAATGGTGTGGTCTACAAATAAATGGTGTGGTCTACAACAAAATTAGTATCATGGTTGGTCGGAGTATATCTTTAAAAAAATAAAAAATAAAAAATAAAATATAATACAATAAAGTTTTATTTTGTTTAATTGGTGTGACGAGCCAAAATATTTCATTTGAATTATTAATGATTCTAGACCAAAAATCCATCTTTTACTACGGACTCGACCGGCCAATAATTTTATACCAAAAACGATTGGTGGCTTGGTGGGGTGGTTCGGTGAAATGTTTAATAACCATGCACTCGATACCTATTTAAGTAACATGATTGTATATTTCGAGACTACACAATGGACTTACTCGTTAAGGGTGAGTATGCAAACTTTCTATTTACTTGTAGAAATGAGATTATATTGTTTTATATCCTCTATTTTAATTGGACGGTGTATATTTGATATGATTTTTAAAATAATATATATTTTAAGATAGTGTCAAATCTACATTATTGATATCAAATGAATAGTTTAGATTGTTGTAA